AGTACCGGCCAGGTGTAGTTATGGTTCCAGGGGTCGTTCTTCTCCTGACAAGGGGCTGACAGAGCACTGAGGTCTGAGTGAGAACCCTGTATAAGCTAAAGCTGCTGCAGGGTTGGACGCCTGGGGCTGTTAGGCCAGCTGGGCTTAGACAAGAGTTACTTGGTAAGAAGATATTGATGGGGGAGAAAAAGACAGCAGGGGCCAGCGCCTGGAGTCTTGATCCTCAGACTGAACTGGGGCCCCCTATCCTGTGCTGGGAGGAATGGCGGGCAGCCTACAGAGTCTAGCCCTGAAAGGCGTTGGCTGGTGATAATGCAGATCACTTCGGTGGTCTGGCAGCTCTGGCCAGAGTAGCGCTGATGGCACGCCTACTGTGTGCTGGCCGGGTCCTGGTTCCTGAGGTCTGGAGACAATGGGAGGGTGGAGCCCCAGACCACCTCCTCTGGGTCTGGATCTGGCTGGGAGCCAAGTGAGGGAGGATGGGGAGACGAGGTTGCACGTCACAGGGAAATTAGCCCCCAGTCATGGGGCCTGTCCGCCAACCTGGGCCCCTGCTATTCCGGAGCGGTGGGAGGGCTTTGGAGTGGAGGGGTGTTTCCTCTCCAGCTCACTGGCCTTTCCGCCCACCCGGACAAGAGGCAGTGAGGGGGGCTGCGCATGGGCCGGCCCTGTGGGCTCTGACTTGGGGAGCTCTGGGCCTGTAGAACCCCGGGGTCACCTTTGGTCGAAAAGGCTGGGAGACCTGCACCCACGGCCACCCCCAGCCCTCGGCTTCGAGGGGCAACCCCAGTTGTCGCTCTTGCCCACCCATCCTCCCAGGCTACAATCGAGCGGGAAGACCAGCTTCCATGTGACCGCGCCAGCCTTACAGGGACCCTGTGGATGGCCAAGGCCCTCCCCTCGCTGTGCTTTGTGCAATCTAAACCGCACCCCCAACCCAGACCACACCCCCAGTTGCACCCTCTCGCCCCACCATGTCTCGCGGTGTTTCAGACTCCACCCCCGCGCGCTGGCCGCTACCCGTTCTTGGCCCAGCTCTCAGCCCATTCCGCTTCCTCAGGTTCGGTCTCGCGCTATTTCGAGCTTTGGGTTCCGTCCCCTCCTTCAGGCTGTCTGGAGCGCTGGGCCCCGCCCCCACACCACGGCCCCGCCCCCACACTTCCGGACGGCGCCGGCGGGGGCGCTCGGGCCTGGGCTTCAGCGCTCTAGGCTCGGGTTCCCCGCTCGGGGACGCTATTGCTGCCACCACCGCAGAAGTCTCTGGAGTCGGGCCATAGTCGCGTCCGTGGGGAGCAGAGCGGTTCGCGGGGCGGCTGGGCCTCGGCGGTGCCCTCGCTCCGCGGCCTCTCCGTGCCCGCCGCCTCCGGGACCCGTGCCGCCGTGATGGGGGCCGTCCCGGGCAGTGCCCCCGCCCCGCGTTGCTGGCCTCGCCACCACTGAGTGCATGGGCTGCTCCGCACCGGGAACTGGGCTGGGGCCCCACCGCGCGCTGTGAGTTCTGGGCAGGCAGAACGCATTCCTGAGGGGCGCCTGGCGGCCTGGCCCTTTGTAGGCCGCAGTGGACTGGTGGCGGGCATGTGGGCTACCGCGAGGGACCCGGAAGAGGGTTGGGGGCGTGTGGCCTACAGTGCAAGGTGCAGAAGGGGGCACCGAGCTCAGCTAAGGGCGTGCTGGTGGTGGGGGTGCGAGCGTGCGTGTATGGGGTCTTAAGACGTGCAGAGGGGACTGTGGTGATTTAAGGGATCAGAAGACGAGCACGGGGGATCCAAGAGTGTTTGCGTAGGGGTTCCTGTGGGTTGTTATGGGGTCGTGGGGGGGGTGGTCCCAGAGCGCGCGTGGGGCTCAGAGCGCATGCGTAGGGGGTCCTAGGGTGGGGGGGGTGTGTATGTTGTTCTAGGCGCATGCGTGGGGCTCTAAATTAGAGTACGAGGGTCTAAGGGCGTGCATGGGGGGGTCCAGGGGCGCGCGCATATCTCCAGCGCATGCGTCGAGGTCAGGGGCGTGTATGGGGTGTGAGCGCGTGCGTCGAGGGTCTCAAGCGTCAAGCGTCTCTGTGTGTGTGTGTGTGTGTGTGTGTGTGTGTGAGAGAGAGAGAGAGAGACAGTGTGTCAGCGCGTGCGTCAGCGCATGTGTCGAGGGTCTCAAGCGCGTGTGTGTGTGTGTGAGAGAGAGTTTGAGTGTGTGAGTGTGTCCCAAGGTGTTTGTGGGACTGTGAGCGTGTGTGTGGAGGTTCCTATGGCATGTATGCGCCGTTGGAGAGGCTGAAAGGACCTAGGTGGCTTACAGTTTTTCGGAGGATGTATGAAAGTCTCTATGTGAAAGTCCAGTAACCTAAAGGTAGAAACACGTGCCTAAGGGTGTGGGCAGGGATGGTGTTGGGAAGACAGTCGTTCCCCCAAACGACAAAGGAGATGAGTGGGGGCCTGGTTCAGGAGAGGCTGGCATGGTTTGTGGAAGAGAGTGAAAAAGGTCCAGGAGTCTTAAGAAGGAGCAGGGTCTCTGCAGCTGGGTGTGTAGGCATGTTTTCAGGGTGTAGGAGGGGTGCAGAGCAGTCAGCCACTGGGAACCAAGGTTTGTGTGAGAGTGCTATAGAGGGTGGCTGTGAAGGGTTCACTCCCACCTGTCTCAGCAAAAGGAGATCAACAGCCCAAAACTTAATATACTATGTATGGATCACGAAGGTTCCTTTAAGTAGGAATAAAGGATTTCAGATTGTCAGTCTGGTATCCTCTTTATATGCCAGAGAAGCTGCAGTTCAAGTTTAGGTTTCAGCATCCCTTGCTCCTTGCTGTCTAAAAACTTTTGTGGGCCTTCATCTCCTCTTCCATCTCACACTCTGGAACTCAGTTCCTGTCCCACCAACATAAAACTAGGGCTTTACAGTTAAGGCAGTATAACTTCCAGCTCCTCACTGAAGACAGCAAAGGAGGGCGCTCAGTCAATCTTCTGAGGTTTTTCTAGGCCCAAACTAAAGCATATAGAAAGGGTTCTTAATTGTGAGGAGCTGGGTGGCATAGTGGCTGCCTATCAAAAGGTCAGTATTCTAAAACCACCAGCCTCTACATGGGAGAAAGATGAAACAGTCTGCTTCTAGGAAAATTGATAGTTCTGGATACCTTGTGGGGTGTCACCATGAGTCAGAACCGACCCTCTGGCTATGGGTTTACCTCACTGTGCATATGCCTCTTAGGCCGCCTGTGTTCTTGTCCTTCCAAAGGGCTCAGGACCGCCCAGCTCCACAGTCTAGGATGCGCACTCTGACAATGAGATAATTGGCAATAGATCAGGTTTAATGGACTTCTGTTTGAGACCAAAAACCAAAACCCTAAGTCCATCCCTGTGACCAACAACAATCTATCTGGTCTCCCCAAGTCTGCAGGAGGAGATGGCCCAGCTTTCTCCTGCAGAGCAGCTGATGGTGGGTTCAGTGTGTTAAGTACTGTGCCATCTAGGCTCCTTTTGTTCAGGACAAGAGTGGGCACACCCCTGAGCAGGACACTCCCTCTAGATTCTGGCATCTGACCTTTCAGGAGGCAGAATGGCCCCTGGAATCCAGGTGTGGGGGATGGGTGGTGAGGAAAGCAGCAGCCTTAACCCTTTGTGAGTCTAAATTAGCTAGGTCCTGGGGAAATGTCAGCACTAGACCTCCACATGAAGGATTCAGCAATTGTGTCTGAGTTATCATGGCTGTCCATGGACCTCCCTAACTGTAGGTGTAATGGTCAGTCAACCATGACAGGTCTTTGGCTCCAACATGAGCTAATACAGTTGTTTTGTGTATGGGCACTGACCAGATCTCCTGTATCTCAGCTAGTTTCATGAACTCGACCTACACAGATATCTGTGGATAGCCAGAAATAAACAACTCCCTTTCCACACACGTGAATCAAACACTAGTCTCCAGACACACCTTCAGGTTTAGATCTGGGACCATATGCTGTATTTGGCCTCCATTTTCCTGTGTCAGTTAATTAGTGACTGGCTTCTTGTTGACAGCTAGCTCACATAGATCACAATCACCCCTTTAAAGCAGGGACAGGAATGCATAATTTAGCTCCTTCTTAGCACTGATGTTTTTGTCTAGATGCTCCCCCCCTTTTTTTAACTGCCTTTCCTCAATGCACTCCAAAGGCCTCTGGGCCTGTCCTTGGTGGAAGGGTGCAGGCATATTATAGATACAGGGAAAGCTCTCTAAGCTGTGGTGAAGTGGCTGCAAGTGGCAGACTCTCCAGCCACAGGGTTGCTGCATACATCTCCTGAGGGCTTGAGAACCGCTTTTCCTCAGGAGGCTGCCCCTTGGAATGGTCTTGGCTTTTGTTGGCCTCCTTGGCACTCTGGAAAGCCTAAGTTCTAGATCCTGGTGAGAAGAGGGCTCCTGGAGGGTATGATGGGGGAGATGAAGTCCAAGTAGGGGGCCTGGTCCTCACATGCACCCCAACTAGGAGCAACACTCTACAGGAAGGGGCCTGGCCTTGAGTTTTAAGAATTCAGTTTCAAGTAAAAGCTCTCTGTGTGAGCTGTCTCTGCCCTCAGATCAAATGAGGGGGCTGCGTGTAGCTTTTTCCTGTGCCTTCTCTGTGAAGTGTCTGCTGGCCACCTGCTGTGAGACCTCTTAGCACCTTGATGGTCAGAATTCCTGTGCATCTAGTCAACTTCCTGTTTTCCTGCTGGCTCCTTTCCAGTGGGGGGGGAGAGGTGTATCCCAGCACAGGACCCTCAAACAGGGCTGCCTTCCTGTGTGCTTCCCTCCCAGCACATTTGCTTTCCACTTGGGACATCCACCCTTGCTTTGTGGCAGTGAGGGGTTCCCAGAAACACTCTTGGCATGACCAGACTCTGTCTCAGCTGCATATGTGAGCCAAACTTCTGGCTCTGGGGTTCTCAATCTTAGCACTTATTGCCATAGGCCCACATTCTTAACCTTGTTCTTTGACGGTCTCCACAGGACAAACTGATTCCCGAATGCACAGTGTGCTGTGCACTGATACGCAGACACCATGATGAATGTCCCAGAGCAGAGCTTCCCCCTGGACGTAACAGCCAGCTTCACAGAAGATGCACCCAGGCCCCCTGTGCCCGGTGAGGAAGGAGAGCTGGTTTCCACTGACCCCAGGTTGGCTGGCCACGGCTTATGCCCAGGGAAGGGTCCTTTGCCTAAGGGGGAGACGGCCACAGCCACCCCTCGCCGCTCAGACCTGGACCTGGGCTATGAACCAGAAGGCAGTGCCTCGCCCACACCTCCATACCTAAAGTGGGCTGAGTCGCTGCACTCGCTGTTGGATGACCAAGACGGGATCCACCTGTTTAAGACTTTCCTGAAGCAGGAAGACTGTGTCGACCTGCTGGACTTCTGGTTTGCCTGCAGTGGCTTCCGGAAGCTGGAGCCCTGTGACTCTAATGAGGAGAAAAGGCTGAAGCTGGCCAAAGCCATCTACAGGAAGTACATCCTAGACAGCAATGGGATTGTGTCCCGGCAGACGAAGCCAGCCACCAAGAGCTTCATTAAGGACTGTATCTTGCGGCAGCAGATTGACCCTGCCACTTTTGACCAGGCTCAGACGGAGGTCCAGTGCACCATGGAGGAGAACACCTATCCTTCCTTCCTCAAGTCTGACATCTACCTGGAGTATACACGCACAGGTTCAGAGAGCCCCAAGGTCTGCAGCGACCAGAGCTCAGGATCAGGTACAGGGAAGGGTGTATCAGGGTACCTGCCCACCCTGAACGAAGATGAAGAGTGGACATGCAACCAGGATACAGAGGATGCAGAAGGCCGGGGTGCCACCGCTTCTAGCAGGCTCACCCAGAAGCTGCTCATGGGGTCAGCCTCTCAGCGTGCGAGCCGGCGGAGCAGTGAGGGCAGAGAACTCAGGTAAGTCAGCCCAAATGGAATACAGCTTTGCTGTGACCACTGAAAGGAAGATGGGCTAATCAAGGCTGTTAACCTAAAATCTGCAATTCCAATCCACCAGCAGCTCCAAAGGAGAAAGATGAGGCAGTATTCCATAAAGATACAGCCTTGGAAATCCTGTAGGCAGTTTTACTCTGTCATGGGGTTTGAAATAACTTGAGTTGGTTTGGGGGAGGTTAAGGGTATAGGGTGGGATTCACGGATGTCAAAATGCCATTTAAACTTTACCGTGGCAGTAAGTACAGGTGAGTAATGGGTCTGCCTCAAAGACCGGATGGACCCCTTTTGGTTTAATGAAGGCAGAATGGTCATTTAAATGCAGTGCTTCTGGCCGGGAAACTGTGGTACTGAGGTTTCTATGTGGTGAGGCCCAGAGTTCTCTGATGACTTACTGTAGTGGCAGCGGCAGTGCTGCTTTCCTGCCCAGTGTGGTAGTGCCGTTGGGTGGCACATGACTTTGGGGCTCAGGGATGCTTCTAGAACCCTTAGCACAGTGTCTGCAGGTAGGCAACTTCAGAAGCCCTGATAGTGCTGGAGCCAGCTCTAAATTATCTTTCCTTAATGACCTTTAAGGAAACAGCAGGGTCAGCCAGTGGCAGGTACCAGCAGAATGTCCCCAGACTCCAATGACTCCTGAGCTCTGGGAACCCATGTCATAACCCTCCTGTGAAGTCACCCTGGTCTGGGACATCACCCTCAGTGACATAGGCATTGACTGCTTACTGGTGAACATGGGGTCCAGCAATGAGGATTGAACAACGTTTTGCTTAGTACATGAAACTTAAGGCACTCTGGATCACACTCTTAAGTTCCTATGCTCATGGATTACATTCTGACATCATCTCAGATTGCTGGGGCCCTTGCTAATGCAGATTCTGATTCAGGATGTCTGGAATGGATAGGCAAGTTCCTAGCAGAGGTTAAACCATATGGCCTGGTTTGGTGCACAAAGATATATCCAAAATATAAAGGAGGTGTAATCATATCATGTATACTTGGAGAATTTTTTGCATTGTTCTCTCGATCAAGTTTTAAAAAATAAAAGTATTTGTGTGTGTTAATGATACTATTACCTGTACAATTCTACATCACACACAGAGACAATCCGACTATGGCCTTCACACACAGTGATGGTTCTGTTCATGTCGTATCAATAGTATTGCTTTTTATCCAGGAGACATCACCATCACTCACATATACTCCAGAATACTCCTTTTTCTCCCACCTATCTCTAATAACCATTAATAATTGGTGTAAAAGTCTCGGGATATCAAGGTCAGTCAGAATAACATTGATTATGACCTCAAAGACAGCAGCTGTCTTTCTACCATTGGTCTCTCCTGGTCTAGAACAAGTAAACAATCCATAATATTAATAGCCTCAAGAATCTCACTTTCTACAACTGACTGCTCTTCAAGTACTAAAAATCATTAAAAATGGTCAGTGTCTGGCCTGATAGAGACTGGTGGAACCCCTAACACTAACCCTTAGCCATCCATCTTTTAAGCCTAAAACACAGCCTCACTCTTCCCTATAGGTCAACTTTCAGCCAAACAGTAAACAGATTTATAAGGGAGACAGTAACACCAGGGAGATGCTTAGTTCTTAGAACATTCAACCACACAAGATCAATTAAGAGGGCCAATATAGCATAGAGCTCAGAAAACAAGAAGGGAGAAGATAGAAGGATGGACAGAAGCAACCAGAGAGAGGTGGTGGGATCAGTGCAGTTACAATGTGAAGATGTAAACAATGTCAAAACAAAATGTACATGAATGGGATTATCAATCTGCTCTTACAGAATTTCACTCAAATTACAAGATAAAAGACAATATTTGGGGCAAAACACTATATAGTGTTGGTGAAGATTATGAAATATTATTAAATATTAAATAACTATTAAATATCATGGGCTACCAGAAGAATGAATGAAAATTGAAAGAAGTACAACTAGAATGTGCATTAGGAGCAAGGATGGCAAGACTTTGTCTCCTGGACTTTAGACATCTTTTCAGGCAGGGCAAGTCCCTGGAGAAAGACATCACACTTGGTAAAATGGATGGTCAGCAAAAAAAGAGGACCCACAACGAGATGAGTGACAAAGTGGCTGCAACCATGGGCTCAAGCCTGGCCCTGATGGTGAGGATGGCTCCAGACGAGGCAGGGTTTCATTCTGTTGTACAAAGTGTCTCTCAAATCAAAACCCATTCAGCAGCCCCTATTCAGATAAACCCCTTGCCCCCACATTCCTGGGAAACGCTGATCATTTTTGGTGTACAGATAAGCACACCTGTACATGACAATTGGTTAGCACACTTTTCTCCTGTACTACTTGGTGGCAGCATTTTCTTTGGTTAAGTGTTAACCACACCCACATGCTATGGTGCTTTCTCCATCACCAAAAATAATGGGATCTGCAATCTAGAGATGATTCTCCTTCCCCTAAGCCCATTCCTGGAACCATTGGTTTCTCTAGTCTTATAAAGAGGGATCACACAGGATTTGTCCTTATGCTTGATGTATTTCATGGCCATAGCATATCATGTCCTCCATTTTGTGTCATGGACTCAGTTGTTCTTTATGGTTTTTATAGACCCTGTCCACTCATTCCTTAAAAGAGTTCTTAGGTACTGTTTCCCTTTTTTTGGTTGCTATTATGAATAAAATTTCTATGAACACAGGTGTACACATGTCTATATCACTTCTATTGGGTCTCCAGGGTGTGTGTGTATGTGTATTTGTACAAAAACACACACGAGTGGGACTTCTGGAAGACAAGGCAGCTAGCTCTAGTCTTAGTTTGAGGAAATACTGTACCCTTTTCCATAGTTGAACCATTTTATATTCCTACTAACAGTAAATAAATACCCAATCTCTTCCACTTGATGCTGTCTTCTCATTACAGTTTTATTTCATAAAAGCATCATCATGTAATATCGTTCCCACTACTGACTGCTTTTCACTGATGTTGTCAATGTTCATCCTCATGCGGGCGTATATCTTAACACTTGCTGCTTTGTTGCAAAATACTGTACTGAAGGACCATATTTTCTTTCTCTACTCGCCTAGTGATGAAATTTCCTGCTTATTTATTGCTACGATATGCACATCACTCTCCCCTTTAACAAAACATACAATTCAACTGTTTTTACATCTACAATTTAGTAGCACTGAATACAGTCAAACAATTTTGGGTTGTTGGTTTTTTTTATTATAACCATTGTTGATTTGTGTCACTGAGTCACATCCAACTCACAAATGACCCTCACAGTTGGTTTTTAAGACTGTAAAAATCACCTGGGGTTGGGGCACACTGTCATCCAAACTAAGGAATAAACCCGTAAGGTCATAAACATCTTTAATAGACTTTTATTGGTATTATACGGATGTACAATGTATCCTAAGTAATGACAGTGATTGGCTGTGTAGTACCACCCTCAATTACTGAAGTTTCCCATCACTGTCAATCTTAGTTTTCCCATCCCTTCCTGTCCCTGAACTACAAACTACATTATCTTTACATTTGCCCTTTCTGGTGTTTTCATACACATCAGGTCATCTGGTATTTGTTCTTTGGTGGTTGACTTACTGATTCAGCACGCCTGCAAGCTCCATTCACTACTTCTGCTACCACCTGAGTATTTATTTGTGTATAAGGATCACATTTTGTTTCTGCATTCATCTCTTTATGAGTATGTAGGCCATATCCACCTTTTGTTTATCATGAATCTTCAGTGTACTTTAGTACTGAAGTTTCTTTTTGACTACTTATTTTAACTATGAGTGAAGCTCATATAGTGGTTTTCATCCCTTGTCTGTCTGTGTGTCATACTGTGATGACCTGTGTGTTGTGGGAAGCTAGATTACCAGAATTTCAAATTCCAGCAGGGATTAAGGTTTCAACAGAGGTTCCAGATTAAGACAGACTAAGAAACAAGACTGGCTACACAATTCTGAAATAACAGGTCCTTGAAACACCTAGAAATAGCATAACATTGTTTAGATATAGTACCAGATGATGAGTCTATGTTGGAAGGCATACACTATAGAACTAGAGAACAGCTGCTTCCTCAAAGTAGTTCTAGTTCTTCCTGCCGTGGTTCTAGATCTGTTGCAGCAGTAAGATGTCCTCTCTTACCAGAGGTGCAGCCTTTGGTTTAACATGTCACCAGATCTAGTGACAGAATTCTGTATGACCAATAACTTAGTCATTGCAGGATTTTTTTAATTTTATTAAATTTTATTAGTTTTAATGAACATTTACAGGGATTTTGGGTTTTCATTCCTTCATTGCTGCACCATTCTCTCTACCCTCCTCCCCAGTTTGTTGTTCTTCCCCGCCATCCGAATGTCTGTTTTAATTGTCCAATTGCCACAGTGCTTGTCAAAGCCAGTTCTGATTAATCTCCTTTGTCAGTGTGTCCCTTGCCATTCCCTATCACTCCTCCCTGAGAGACTTCACCCTGATTCATAAGGAAAAGGGGATGGTGTATTCTCTTAGCTACTTCCTGCTGAAAAGGGACGCTGTGGGTTTCAGGGTAAAGATCTTCTCTCACTACTCTAAAGGGCCCCTTTGGCAGTAGGAAACACATAGACTATTATGGAGATTGATTTTGGAATTTAGATGCACTGTTATTAATTGTGCTTAGCCGTACAAAAAAGACCAGAACCCAAGCAGATGAAGAGAAGATGAACAAAGCTGTTTACAAGTGCCCGCTGTTACAACCTGGTGGACTTTGTGCAAAAGTTTGTTAAGAAATGCAGAAGCTCAAAGTTTCCAAGGTGAACTGATAATTCTTCAGCAAAAGGGACATGCTTGTTGCCTCAGAAAACTGGTTGGCAGGGATGGGCAAATCAGAAATTGGCTATCTAGGAGGAGGATACTAGAGCAAGAGGCATGAAGTAGGTAGCTTACCTGCTTTTAGGAATATAGTTATTAGTAAGATGACTGAGAGAGGAAAATTCCACAATATACATGAACAAAATACAACATAAATGAAAGATGAAAATTTAAAAAAACTCAACCATAAATAACTCTAATAAACACTCTTGGTATCCTCAGCCAGGAAATTAAAAGACATTGCTTTGGGAAAGTCTGCTGTCAGGAACCTCTCCACAGTACTGAAGAGCAACAGTGTCAGTCTGGGGACTAAGGTTTGCCTGATCTGGGCCCTGGTCTTCGCAGTTACTTGCTATGCAGCAGAAAGCTGGACAGTGACTTGGAATAATAGAAGAACCTTTGAGCTGCAGTCCTGGAGACGAGTATTGACTATACCATGGGCTGCTAGGAAAACAAACAAGTTTGTCTTAAAAAGAGGATGAGACCAGGCTGCTCCTTGGCAAAGATTATGAAGATCCATCTAACATACTTTGGGCATGTTGCAAGGAGGTACCAGTCCTGGGAGAGGGACAGCACAAGAGAAGACCCTGGATGAGAAGGTTTGACTCAGTAATGGAGGTAGGTGTGTCAGAGAAAATAAGGTTGGCTCAGGATAGAGCAGGGTTCAAAGCTGTTCTACGTAGGGTCGCTATGAGTCGCAAGCAACCATGAATGGCAGCAATATACATGGACGTTACCTGATGGGAGTGTACAGGAATCAAACGAAATACATTTGTGGAAAGAGATGGTAAAGAAACTCATCTGTTAAAATAAGACAAAACCTGGGGCCTATCAAACCAGTTAAGAATTGGCTCCTACTGAACCATTTCAGGAAGCAACACATGATCAAGAACAAATTGGTAGTAAAGGAACTAATCCAGGATGCACTGACAGCATTAACAAAAAAACAGCCCCAAGAATTGAAGGAATACCAATTTAGGTGTTTCAACAAACAGGTGCAGCCCTGCACTTTCTCATCACAAGAAACTGGAAGACAGCTACCTGCCTAACTGGAGAAGATCTATATTTGTGCCTATTCCAAAAAAAGTGATCCAACAGAGTGCAGAAAAGTTCAAATAATGTCATCAGTATCAAGTACAGTTTTGCTGCAGATTAATAAAAACAGCCAGAGCAGTACATCCACAGAGAACTCACAGAAACTCAAGCTGACTTCAGAAGAAACTATAAAGCAAGGGATATCACTGCTGACGGAAAATAGATCTTGGTTATAAGTAAAGAATACCCAAAAGATGTTTACCTATGTTTTTACTTTAAGATGGCATTTAAATGTATGGATCATGTAAAATTATGCTGACAATGAAAATGATGGTAATTCCATAACATTTTCATTGTACTCAAGAGCTCTGGTGGCATAGTCCACTAGAGTAGGCAGTACAGAAGAAGCTGCAATGCCAACTCAAAGGTGGTGCCTCTGGTATTTCAAATCCACCATCTACCCTAAGGGAGAAGGATAGTCAGTTTCCTCATTTGCTTTACAGCCTTTGAAAACCTACTGGAAAGTCAGCTTTAAGTTAAACTACAGCTGTGGCAACTGACCAAGAAATAGTTGTTGAACAGGGAAGCAAAGGGATTTGGAACAAATGGAAAAAAAAATCCTTTGCCATTTTTATGACTGGGATATTTCTGTATCTTTTTGTTGTATTTTATGTATATTTTGGTTATTAATTATCAGGTATATGGCTTCTGAAGACTCCCAGTTTTTTTGGGTAAAGACTTGATGAACAAAACATTTTCACTTCTTTTTAATTTTGCCTCATTTCTCATTATAGTTAATAATCCACTGGTGAAAGTTAGGCCCAAAGCTTTGCCCTTGTTTTTTATTCTAAAACTTTTATGGCTTTTGGTGTATGTTGGTTGTTTTGATTACTGAGCCTGTATCAAACTCAAAACTTGGTATTGAGTAAGAACACATAGCTGATCCTCCAATGCACTTTCAAATGAGAGCTGCTTGTGGATTTCATATAATAAAAGAGGCATCACCTTTGGGTTAGCACAACTCCCCATGGACTGTGCCCACCAGAAGTCCCTAATATAGTACGTTTTAAAATCAGTCTGATGTTGCTTTGTTCTCTTTGAGCATCCTTTTAGCTATTTGAGGTATATTGCCTTTCCATACAAAGTTGAAGGTGGTCTTCTACATTTTTATTTCTTCTGTTGAATCTATAGATGGCTTTGGGGAGTAGTGATATGTTAACAATATAACATTTTCCAATTCTTGAACAGGGAAAATCTTTCCATTTACCCAAGTCTTTAATATTATCTATCTGTAGTTTTAAGTCATTTTATGTCCCTGGTTAGATCTATTACTAAATTTGGATTATTGTAAGAGTAATTCTAAAGTAAAGTTATTGTAAGAGTAATTCTTCCCTACCTTCCCTTTCAGATTTCTCATTACTGCTATAATATCAGATTTCTACTTGTTGACTTTGTATCCTGCATCTTTGCTAATCTTCTCTATTCGTTCATTTTCTTGTGCATTCTTTTGGATTTTCTATGTATAGGTTCATATCCATGAATAGAGATATTTTTACTTTTATTTTTCAGTTTGGATACTTTTTCATGTCTAATTGTTCTGGGTATGAATACTAAATCAGTACTGACTAAAAATTGGTCAGAGGAAACACATTTGTCTTCCCAATTTCACAGTTCTCTGTCTCTATTAATGCTGATCGGTGACTTTTCATATGTAAATTGTACTGGAGAATTTCCAACCTTTAAGGTCTTCATCCAGAAGGAGTAGTGTTTCCTCAGGTCCACAGAGGTGAGCCTAATGGTTGATTTCCTTTGTTCTGTTGATGTGGCACCCCACAGGCAGTTTCATACACTCTTCATATTTTCAGGATAGGATCTGGGGCTGCTGCCCTTGTCACCATGCCAGCACACTTTAGCACTCACTCCAGCTGGACTGTCAGGGTGAGAATATCAAATTCCTGTCATGAGCTGTAAGTGGTCAGACACTCGATGAAGCTGACCTCATCTAGTTCAGGCTTCTAGGAGTGGCCAGGAAGCTGACCACATGGCATTGTGGACCGTCAACCTCGAAAAGTCATACAGACAGCTGGGTGTGCTCAGCTTTTCCTCTTAGAGACCTGGGGTGGGGGGAGGTCCTGTCCCACCATCCGGGAGTTGGTCAGCACTGGCTCCATCTGGATGCTGATCAGAGCACACTGCCTCCCATATTTCACCAGGATTCAGGCAGCATGGCTCTCTTATTCCAGGGGAAGGTGGTGGTCTTTAACTACCCAAGTAAAATTCCCTTCCATCTAGTGGACAACAGAACTGCCCTGAGGGGATTCCCAGGGTCTTAGCTTAATGGAAGTAGATCACTACATATTTCTCCTTGAAGAACTGTTGTTGAGTTTGAATACCCAACTTTCATTAGCTGCCAAAAGTGCTAATATTACTGTGCCACTAGGGCACTTAATTAGAAGAGACCGAAAACTTAAAAAAAATCTGGGGGAAAAAAATACAGTTTGCATACATAACCAGAGACTAATGGTAAGAAGAATAAAGATTTTAATGTAAATTGAGAAAGTTAACAGCTGAGCAAAAAACAGAAATAAGGTATGAGCCGCTAAAGAAGTTAACAAAGGCTGGCTCCCCTTGGGAGAAGTGATGAGAGGTGTATGACAGACAATGTCTGTCCTAGCCTGTGTCCACTCTGGAGCTGCTCAGAAATGAAGCGATCCTAAGAGTTGTCTTGAAAGTAAAATCACTTTGTTACTAGAGGTGGAGGTGCTGTTAAGGGATATGCTGGGGGAAAGGTCAGACTTGCGGCCAGGTGGCAGGGAAGGGAAAGCAGGGGATGCGAGTAAAGACACCAGCAACTATTCCATCCTTTAGCTGATTTTTTTTCCCCTACCATCTGCCTGCCCCAATTCCAGCTTGGTTTTTTTGTTGTTGTTGCCTTTTTTTTTTTTTAAAGAAAAAATAATAATAACAGCCCTTCCACATCCTTCATATGTATCTCTTTTCCATTCCTCTTCCATTTCCATCCCTTTTGATCTTCTAGAAGCTGTGTTTCTAAGGAGTGTGGTCTCTACTAGTGTTATAGATTACCATACAATACAGGCTTGCTGTTGACTGCCTGGTCTTTTTTTTTTTTTTAAGATTTTCTTTCTGTCCCTTCTGAGCTCTTTGTAGTAGTAGACTGTATGCATTTTCAACTCCTTAAGATACTTAAATTTTGGAAGTGTTGTGATGACACTGAAAAGGCTTCTGGCAGCCAACTGAGTCACCCTCTTGTCCACAGACATGGATCCTGGCGGGAACCGGTCAACCCTTACTACGTTAACGCTGGCTATGCCCTGGCACCCACCACCAGTGCTAATGACAGCGAGCAGCAGAGCCTGTCCAGTGATGCCGACACCCTGTCCCTCACCGACAGCAGCCTGTAAGCCCTGCCCCAAACCAGTGTTCCATCAGCCCCATCTCCCTAGTGCTGCCCACCTGGCCACCATAGGAGCAAACACAATCTGTCCCGACTAGCAGCCATCCACCCTATCCCCCAAGTGCTGCCTACTTAGCTGCCGTGAAAGCAGCTCCCTGGCCTCAGTCCAAGACCACTGCCTATCTGTCCTGTCCTGCACCCCTCAGCACTGCCCACTCTACCCGAATCATGGGTAGCTGTGGGCATGTCCTGCTGCTTGCTCTCACCAACATCTCTGGGGAAAGTGGTATCCAACATAACTCAGGAGAAGCAACAGTTTGAAAACAAGATGTGACTCAATTTCCACATTTGTCCTAATCTGAATTTTCACACAAACAGAGAAATCTCCCAGAACAATGTGGTAACCCCTAGTTCCCTGGTACTCTGATGTCTCTACAGGGTCAGGGTAGCCAATCCCTTTGTACCCTTGAGGAACATCTAGAACCACATGCTTCGTTGGTATCTGAGGGCTGGCCTAAATGCCCAGATGCCTATTGGAATCACCCAGCAATCCTCACTCCTAACTTAATACATACCTCAGGAGTCTGCAGCCGAACTCCTTTTGTGAGATACACGTGGGAGAACATGCCCATGTGTATACACATGAGAGCCTCATGTCTGGTGGAAGGCTTCCAGTGGCCCCTTCTGACTGACCTGTGCACATGGTCAGGGCTTGGAGGCATCTGGCACTACTCTATTTGAGCCCTCTCTCGCCTAGGGATGGCGTCCCTCCATACAGGACACGCAAGCAACACCGCCGAGAGATGCAGGAGAGTGTCCAGGTCAACGGGAGGGTGCCCCTGCCTCACATCCCCGTAAGTAGCAGCACAGATGGGGAAAGTTTGCCCAACTTTCTGGCGCGCACTCCCTATACAATGTTCAGGGTCCAGCTGGATGAATCTAGTCTCCTGAGGAGGGGGTGTACTTTCCAGCCCCACACAACCTTCCTGAGGCACTTCCCCATGTTGCAGTTGTTGTCTGTTTTGGGCGTGGCACCTCATCTGGTGACTCTGGCAGCACCATCAAAGCACCGCCCCTTGCAGATGGGCGCTGGCTGATAGCTCAAAGGACTGACCCACTGAATCTGATACCCCTGGACCACCTCAGTTTCTTTCCCAGGAGAGGCAGTCTGTTTCCTATTTCTGAGTTAGAACCTTTTGGCCTCTGTCTCATAGGACAGCTGATTTGACCATTTACAGTTGAGAATCTTCTGAGGAGTGCCATGTATGCACAATAAAGCTGGGAGGAAGTGAGAAGTTGGGGATAAGGTTGGATGGGATCTCTATGATACTCAGCTTTGAGGTGAAATTTAAATAAATTCTTTTCCACAAAAGTTATCCAGTATTTACCTCAAAACATACTACAGGACTGTAACCTTTCAGAATCCAGAGTCCTTTTTCATTTTCCAGATTTTCCTATTCCCCATTTTTACCTCTTCCATTGTCCATAAGGGGCGCCCAAGTTCAAGGCTAATCCTCATACACTTTCCGCCAGGCAGTACCAGCTCTTGTGGCAGGGCGCTGCCAGCCCCAGACAAGAAGCCACCCAGGAGAGGCACACACCGAGATGGGTCACCCACGACACAAATCTCGTGTGGCACAGGGACACGGAACTGAGACCCGGGCCTGGGATCCTCAGGGCCTGGGATCCTCAGGGCGGGGTGTGAAGGCTCTGTCGGGAGTCGAGAGACCACATAACCAGCACAGTAATCACACTCACCAGCCTCCATCCGGCCATGTAACCACCCACCCGTTCCGCCACGAAGCTTCCACCCCGCTGGTCCCGGTCTGGTCATGCCGCCTCTTGCCCCTTTGCCACCAACTGGCCACGAGACTTCCCGCCCTCGGTCCTTGTCTGACCACGCGGCCTCCTACCCTCTTGTTTACCATCCCACCATTCGGCCTCGCTCCCGCTGGTCTGGCCACGCGGCCTCACCCCACCTCAGTCTCTCCCACCCTCTATCAGGAAGGATCACGCCACTAAGACCAAGGCTGAGTGGACTGAGAATTCATTTGATGAAAAGCTGAGACTTAAGGATGGGAAAAGTACACATCTTAAAATGAAGCCCAGATTCTTTGTAATCTTTTCTCCATCAGCAACGTGGCTGATGACCGACAGGCCTTCACATTCTCTGGTGGTGTGGTGAAAGAGTGGAACAGCGGGTGGGCGTACTGACCCGTATCTTCCCCTAGCGCACTTACCGGATGCCCAAGGAGGTCCGCGTGGAGCCGCATAAGTTCGCTGCGGAGCTCATCCACCGCCTGGAAGCCGTGCAGCGCACACGGGAGGCCGAAGAGCAGCTGGAAGAACGGCTACGGCGCGTGCGCATGGTGAGCATAGCTGCGCATGGTGAGCATAGCTGCGCATGCGCACGCGAGCACATAGGCGGAGAGTGCCAGCGTAAAGGTGGGGTATGCGCCTGCGCATATCCTGTAAAGTGGCAGGATGTGCGCTTGCGCTTGTGATCGAGGGGAGGTGCGTGCCCGTGGTGAGCTCGGGTACAGGGGCGTGCGGGTGGTGAGTTGACGCATGGTGATGGCGGGGCATGTGCATGATGAGGGCAGGGGTGGGACGTGGGCATGGTGAGTGCGCTAGGGGCGGGGCATGCACATGGTGAGGGCGGGGCAGATGCGTGGGGAGCAGGAGCTGGATGGACACGTGGCGGTGGAGGGGCGGATGTACAGTGATGGTGGGGCGGGCGAATGGTGATGGCGAGGCAAGACTGGGTATGTGCATGGTGCTTGCAGGGTAAAGGTGGAGATATGCAGACGGGGATTGCTAGCCTCCGTCCCTAGTGTTTGATAATTGTGAGGGGTAGGGGTGGGGTGTGGGCATGGGAAGGGGAGGGGCTTGCGCGAGCTGAGGATGGGGGCAGGCGTGTACTTGGTGACAGTGGGCAGGGGAAAGGTCGTATTGCTGTGATGATTTTAGGTAGGCAGAGTCATTTCGTGATAATAATGGGGCAGGACGGGGACAGCACATGAGTACCTTTGTCTAGTAAGCGGTACAGATGGTGAGAAGGAGAGGCGAACATGTGATGAGAGCAGGTTTGGGCGCATTGTATGCTAGCACAGAGATAAGGAGATAGGTTTATCACATGTTAAGTGTCGGTGAATACGCGTGTGCATGTGAATTGGGGGACGGTTGGGGCCCCCAGAGAGAAAGAGAGGGTGAGTGTTTGTGTGTGTGTGTGTGTGTGTGTGTGTGTGTGTGTGTGTTTCTCTTCCTCTGGGGAACAAGCCTGTTTCGGCCTGATGTCCTATTGGTGTGTGGAGTCTGGATATCTGACTGGTCCTTGTCTGTATAGGAGGAAGAGGGTGAAGACGTAGACGCGGCTCCTAGCACCCTGGGGGCAGCCCTCAAGCTGCCTCCTGCCCAGGCCTGGCACCACTTGCCTCCACGCTACGCTGACGCAGGCTGTGCAGGGCCACGGGACGCTCACGAAGAAGACCCAGAGAGCATCCTGGACGAGCACGTGCAGCGGGTCCTGCGCACACCCGGCCGCCAGTCCCCCGACAGTGGGCACGCAGCCAGGCTGCCCGCCACAGTGGGCAGTGCAGCTGGGCACAGCAAACACACAGCCAAGACGGGGGCCAAACTGGACACAGCCAGTCTGTTCCACCACCGGCACGCCCATCACCATGTGCACCATGGCGCTGCCAAACCAAAGGAGCAGATTGAGGCAGAGGCTGCCCGCCGTGTCCAGAGCAGCTTCCCGTGGACTCCAGAGATGCACAGCTATGCCACCAAGCCACGCAGTTTCCCAGAAAATGCTGGGGCAGCTCCCGCAGCTGCTGCTGCCACTGCTGCCACCGCCACTGCAGCCGCCACCACCGCAGCCACCGCCACCCCTGCTGCTACTGCTGCTGCCCCAGCAGACAATCTGGGCTTCAGGTGCGTCCTCAGACTTTGAAGTGCAGCTACTTGACTTCAGGTGCAGAGGGTGGTGCCTACCACTAGCAGTTTAGGCCAGGGACACCATAATAGTCAAATTGGCATTAGGAGTGGAGGGTCATAGTGAGGCAGAGGTAATTGCTCGCCTGCCCTTCTGGTGCATGTGGCTTGGTGTGAGCCCCAGGCCTCTTTCTACAGTGGGAAAGCAAACGTGTCCAAGAGGCCTGTCAAGAAGGTTGAGGTGGGCCGGGGTGCAGCCACCTCGGAGGTGCCAGGCTCACCCGAGGGCGTGGAGAAGACACAAACTATACTGCAGTGGATCATTGAAGGCGAGAAAGAGATCAGCAGACACAAGAAGGCTGGTCACGGGTAAGTCACTACCAGGTCTCTGTCACGGGGACGGCAGGACCCAGAGCACTGTTTGGTGAATGGTCCTCACAGTGGGACTGGGGTCTCAGCAGTGGAGTGGCTGGCCCTTTTTCTGGAGCTGGCTCACATCTCTGAGGGTTAGGTGTGTCCTGGCCCACCCTGCTCCCATTCTCAGGTCTAAGATGTTATCTTCCCCTCAGGCTTTCTGGAGTCAAGAGGCAACAAGCCCTTGAAGGCACCAGGGCTCTGTCCATTGAGCGCCCTGGGGCCGTGCACCCCTGGGTCAGCGCCCAACTTCGGAACTCTGTCCAGCCTTCCCACCTCTTCATTCAAGACCCCACCATGCCTCCCAACCCGGCACCCAATCCACTGACCCAACTGGAGGAGGCACGCAGGCGGCTGGAGGAGGAGGAGAAGCGAGCCAGTAAAGTGCCGGCCAAGCAGAGGTGGGATGGGGCAGGGTGAGCATGGACAGAGGAAGTGGTGGTGATAGGCTGGGGGTTTCCTGGGTGGTTCTGGGCCTGGTCTCTTCCCTCTAGAATCTCAGTTTTTTTCACTATCTGCTTCAGGACAAAGTCTCAGAAGAAAGTGGGGGGTGCAAGCGCCCCGCCACCCGACAGCATTGTGGTGGCCTACTACTTCTGTGGGGAGCCAATTCCCTACCGGACTCTGGTGAAGGGCCGCGGGGTCACCCTAGGCCAGTTCAAGGAGCTGCTGACCAAGAAAGGCAGCTACAGGTATGAGCTAGTGACCTGTTGAGGGGGCAGTGCATGTCAGTGTCCAGGCCAGCCTCGGACAAGTGGTGGGCCTGCAGACTGAGCCTCTCACCTCCAGCCCTCTGCCTTTATAGATACTATTTCAAGAAAGTGAGCGACGAATTTGACTGTGGTGTGGTTTTCGAGGAGGTGCGAGAGGACCAGGCCATGCTGCCCATCTTTGAGGAGAAGATCATCGGCAAAGTGGAGAAGGTCGACTGACCACAGGTGCTGGCCCTGGGGGCAGGAGCGCTTCCAGACACAGCAGCCCTTTTCCTCCTGTGTCTGGAGTAGAGTCGCTCTGAGAGGCCCCCAGGCCTCTGTGGGGCTGCCTAGCAGTAGGCCCACCTGGTTGCCATAAGCAATATTGAGGGCCAGCCTAATAGGGCAGCCCCTCCTCCTTCACACCCCAACCCCATTCCCTATCCCCATCCCAACCCCAATGCCGGCCAGCCCCGGCAGTCCCTCTGCTGCTAACAGGCCCTGCCTGACCCTGGAGGCCTTGCCTGGGGCGGGGGCTCGCCCCGGTGTGCCCACTCCCTACCGGGACCCCCCCTCGTGGGCCCGCCACTTGTACATGTCACCGAGTGCCTTCGACACAACCTGTCCCTTGCCTGCCACTGTGTGAATCCACGGCAGGGACCATTCCCCAGGACGGCCACCCACAGCCCCCGCGCCCCATGTAAATACGTCCATTTCTCAGGCAGGGCCGGCGGGCAGCCGCCCCAGCCCTCCTCACCCTCACTTGTACAATGTTCTTTTCAAAGGTACTTGGATAATAACAAAATAAAACATTTGTAAACCCTGTGGCCTGCTTGTGATTTGTCTGCTGTGGAGCTAGGGTGGCTCCATCACAGAGCCTGGACTATCCACCTCCTATCATCCAGTACAGGTCACACCTGCTTTGTATATCATAGACATGGTTCAGTGGTGGTCTGGCATCAAGACCTGCTTCCTTTCTGCCTGGGACTGAGGCAGGACCAGCCCAGAACTACACGCACAGCCAGAATACAGCTCTTTATTCATTACTGAACCTCTAGCCCCATAGGCCTGCTCCCAGGTTATCTGCACATTGTTTTGAGGTGGGCAGCTGGGGTACTTGAGGTATTGAGCTTCTCACAGTGATGGGGTACCAGGTGGGATGCAAGAACACCAGGTGGCAACGTGGGGTGCTAGGCAGCAGCTACAGCTCCTCTTTGGATGCCGTGGTAGAGTTGGCCATCTGGAAGAGGTTCAGGCCCACCTCAGAATTCTGCACCCAGCACAGAGGCCCCCATCCTAGAGGTCAGTCCAGAAGCTGGATAGCCCTGGGACAGTTTTGGGTCACCTACTGGAAAGGGTGCTTTAGGAAGATCTGCAGGCTCCTCCACTGGAAGTTCGCCCCCATTGTCCAGGAACTTGGACAAGGTCTCCAGGTCTCTGGCACTTTTGTATTCAATCACCTGAGAGAAGGAAGAGGGGAACTGGAGGATATCTCCATCCTGCTGTATTCTCCCTGAACCCACCCTGTTCTAGGCTCTGCCTCTTCAAGCTCCACTCCACCAGGATCCCAACTTTTCCTCCAGGGCAGTCCCTGTGATCCATTCCAGGCTCCATCTCTTCTTCAGGTAACACCCTCCCTGAGTGCACCATGGGATCAAGCACCAGCCCTGGTCCTCCTGTCTCTTCCCATCTGGCTATAATTCACCTTCCGGCCTGGCCCTGCTGGGAAGTACTTGAGGGTAGGAAAGCCATGCACAGCAAAGGCCTCCAGCTCATTGGCCGTGGCATCCAGTTCAGCAATGATGATGTCCTGCCTGTCGCTGTACTTTTCAGCCAGTGCCTCCCAGGCTGCAGCCATCTCTTTGCAGTGTGTGCACCAAGGGGCATCTAGGGCAGGGTCCATCAGCACTGATTGTCAGGATCTGCTCATAGTCACTACCCCCACTCACCATCTGTCCCCGGCACTCACAGAACTTGACAAACACGTTCTTGTTCTCATCAAAAGCCACCTGCTCGAAATTCTTGCCCACGAGAGTCTTCACAGGCCGCTGGTCCCAGTCAGGTGGGATGTCCTGACTTAGGCGATAGGGCTGGGGACCAGCCAGGCAGAGGTGGGCCATCTACATACAGCATGGGGTCCTGCCTCTGCTCGCCCCTGGCTGCATCCCATGGTGCTGTTAAGTGACTGACCTTGATCTCACCATTGAGGACTGAGTGGCAGAAGGCTGAGACACTATCTGGGGTGACTGATAACCCATCTGCAGGCGCATACTTCTTGGTAGTCTCAATGTTTACAAAGCGGAGAGTTGGGGCCTCCTGGGCCTTCATGCCAAAGTACTGAAGCACGTGATCATTGTCTCCAGCCACATCCACCACCACAAACAGCACCTGGCCAGCAGAAGTCATCACCGGGCACCCCCCAGCTAACCAGCCCACCCCTCCCAGCCTCCCAGTACCTGCCCCCGAAATGGGGGAGCTGCCTCCCGGAAGTCTTCCAGGAGCTCCCTGTGTGAGGCCAGCCTCTGATTGATGAATAGGAGCAGGTGGTTCAGGATCCGGGCAGCAAAGATCTTTGGGGAGGTCTGCAGGGGAGAGCAAGCTCAAGGGTAGCTCAGGGAGGCAGCCCAACCAACTCCAAAGGCCCACCCAGCTCACCTCACTGTTGAATTCTGTGACCAGGTGCATGCTGTGTGTGAGCAGGAACCGAGACAGGTCGGCCTGGTCCAGGCCCAGCTCCTCGTCCACAGGAAAGTCAGCCCGACCCTCATCAAACTAACACGAGCTGGTCAGAGGGAGCTGCAGCCTGTACCCGAGCCTGGCCCCCTCTCCTTCCCCTATCTCCAACCTCAGACTGCCCCCACTTCCCTGTCCCCAATCCCTGACTGGACCCTCATCTTTCCCCATACTCAACTTCAGTTGATCCCCTATCTTTCCCCATCCCTGACCCCCAGCCTGGCCCTTCACCAGACCTGACCTCATCCAGGCCTCCAACCCTAGACCCCTCACCTTAGGCCGCCTCAACCCCAATCCTCACACCAGACCTTTTATTCAGCCCAGGTTCCCTACTAGCCCTGTAACCCACCCAGTCCTGACCCCCATCCAGGCCTCCCACTCAGGCCTCTCACCCAGTCCCAAACCACAACCACTTGCCCTGCTCAAGCCTGATCCTCCTCCAGAAAGAACCCCACCCCACCTTGACTCCTCACTCCAGCTATCAACCCAGCTCAATCCCTCCCAGCAATCCTCTCCTAATCTACCTTCTTAAAGAGGACCACAGTGTCCTTGGTTAGACCAAACTTTTGGAAGAGTTGTGGCTGGTCAGTGAGGCCGAAGGTCATGTCAAGAGCATCCCGGGCCAAGGCCAAGAAGGTGGCCACACTGTCGTCCTGTAGGTCCTATGGTCCAAACTTGTGAGACTGGCTGCTGCCACAGGCCTATGCCTGGACCCACCCCTGCCCAAACCAGCTGTTCACCTGGAAGAAGCCGATGACTACCAGGTCCTGGGCCTCTATTAGTGCTTGGGCGTCCCCCTCGGTTTCCAGCTTGGAAGCACTGGGCCCAACCCTTCGCATCAGCCACTTGACGATGCCCTCAGCCTTTGGCGGACCTGCTGGGAAGGCTGCTCAGCTTGGGCATGTCCCTACTCTGCCCCCTTTTATAGCTCTTATCCCACACAGATCCTTTACCCCAAAGTGGCTTCTCATGCCATACAGCCCTGACCCCATGAGGTTCCCAACCTCACAAGACCCTGGTCCCCCAACCCAGACCCTGCCCCAGTTTTCACTTCACCCCAGCCCCCACTCCATTCCAAGCCCACAAGCCCATAAGGCTCCCCCTGAGATCCCCACACCTGTATAGTCCTCTGGATGTGTTCTGTTCCCATCTCGGAAAAACTTGATTGTAGGATACCCAGTCACTTCAAACTCCTGAGCCAGCTCCTCCGCTGCAGGCCCGTCCACCTTGGCCAGCGTGACCCTCACAGACTCTGCTGCCAGCAGCTTGGCTGCCTTGCTGTATTCTGGGGCCAGGGCCTTGCAGTGCCCACACCACGGGGCATCTAGAGGCCAAAAGGGGGCCCCTCAGCCTCCTTGAAGGCCCCTCCACTGTACCTGGCCTCAGCCTGACATTTAGGTCCTTGTCCCGGTAGAGGACAGAGGCATCTGTCTACATCCCTTTCCTCAAGAGACATCCATTTCAGTTAGCCCAGGCTGAAGACCCTGATCCCCTTCCTCAAGCCCCCCGAGGTGTTCTTGCAAGTGTAACTGCCAGTTGAGGCCAGCACAGAGCAGACTGACCCCATGACAGAGAATGCGTGACCACAAAGCCTGGATCATTTACTCTCGGTCTGCAGCCTTGCTCTTGAGCCCCTGATCACTAGACAGGGAGAGGATGGGTGAGAGTGGGCTCTTACCCCTGAGCACTGCTCTATCCCTGTGAGGCCCCCCATTGTTCAGTTGCAGAGCTGTCTGTGGAGTGCAGGAGCTAGTCCTATGGAGTAGTAGCCCCTCAGTACCTGCATGCCCCGTTCTGCCCCAGTGTCCTGTGTCCCCAACTCACAGAATTCCACCAGCAGAGCTGAGTGCTCCTGCAGGGCCAGGGTCAAGGTGCTGCCATTCAGCACTAGGACCCCGTCCTCCTCTGGGACCCCCTGAGGGACCTGCTCTGGGGGCTCTCCAGAAGGCTCATGGGGCCCTGACCCCTGGCCCCATAAGACTGAGGCCTTCAGCAAAAGCAGCAGCAACACGGGCAGCAGCTGGCAGTCCATTGCGGTGCCGGGGCTATGGGGCGGGTGCAGATAAGGGACCTGGGGGCCAAGCAGTGGCCGCCACGTGGCACCCAGGCCACCTAGGGACAGATAAGGCCGCAAGGGCCGCCCCCACACAGGGAGGGGGAGGCACAAAGAGGCGACACAGGGCACCGAGATGGGTGATGTTTAATGGGCTGTTCAGGGGGTCCCGGATCAGGCAAGGGGTCAGGGTTCTGATCACTCGCTGAAGGGGGCTGGGAAGCACTTGGGGTCCCTCTGCAGCCACCGGTCACAGAGAGGGGACAAGGACCCAGTGAGTGGGGCAGGAAGAGGGTGGTGATGATGAGGCTCATTCCTGCCAGTCCTTGCAGATGCGGAAGCTCCACTCCCAGGACAGGTGGGCAGCCTGGTCATCATCCGTGAAGCAGGACGAGACCAAGTAGGTGCCCCTTGCCAGTGCACCCCGCGGCACCTCCTCCTCCGGAGTCACAAACTCATACTCCTGCTCCTTCGGGCCATAACTGCCCACCATGTAAACAGCCTTGTCCACTAGGGGAGGGCAAGACCACCATCACATCAGGGGCCTGCAGGGCTGAATGGCCTCCCCAACACTCCCTTCCCAGCCCCTTATCCCACCCTCACCACGTAGGCCTTTGCGATAGGTATGATGGCAGCACCTGAGGCCACAGACAATCTCCTTATTGACCTGCAGGGACATAAGGGTCAGACACTTGTGGCTGGCTGTGCCTCCCCCTCCACACACACAGCCAACCGCACCTTGAAAGTGATCTTCACTCTGAAATCCACACCCTCCTTCAGAACAAACACCTGGTCTCTCAGCACAGCCAGATCCCCTGTGAGGGAAGGAAGCAGTACTGAGGGTATCTGCTGCTCAGATGGCAGAGACCCTTCCCCAGGAGCCCTGGGGAGGGAGGTTGTGCGGTCTCCCAAGAGAGGAGGGCCACAGTGATGGGGTCTCTCTCCCCAGAAACCAGTGGGAGGCCCCCACCTGGGGCCCTGGACATTGGGACCCTCACCTGAAAGCTCCATGGTGATGGGGCCTGGGGCCTGCTCAGACAACAGTGTCAGCCGAGTCACTTGCACATTGGGCAGGTTGGGGTCTGAGGAGGAGAGATGTCCAATCACATGTGTCTCGCCGCCCAAAGTGAGAGCCCTCCCACCTGTGTCCTGACCCTCCTGTACCCGAGACTGGCGGCAGGGGCTCCAGCAGTGCCCGCTTGTATTTGGTCAGGCTCTCGTCGTCCTGGTCCAGCTCCTGGAGCTCTTGAAGGCTCTTCTGCCCTGGAGGCTGGTACCCCAACACGGCCTCATCCAGCACCTCGTCTGGTGGCAGGTGCCCACCCTCCTTGTCCGTCATGAAGACTGGGGTCAGGGAGGGAGTGTGAGCAACTGTCACCAGCTGTCCAGCTACCCACCCTACTACCCCTCCCACTGCCGAAAAGAAACAAACAAACAGGAAGCTGGTGGGGCTCAGGGAGGGGAGATCTTCTGGAAAGGGTCTTGGGGGTTGGAGTGGGCCCTAAACACTCCTCAGACACCAGGCCAAGTACGCCAACTGCCTGTTCCTGACTCTGTCTGCTTATCACCCCTCACTGACTGGAATCAATGGTGAGAGAACAAAGACTCTCAAATGGAGGACAGCCCTCAGGAACTGGGGGATCATCACAGATTACCCCTCAGGATGGTGCCGGACAACGACTTCTGAGGTTTGTCCTAGAGCAGCTCTGTCTTTTCTGTAGTCTCTGCTCATGGTGGGTTACTTTCCATAATGTTCTAGGGCTCTTTTGGGGTTCCCCCAGTGCTATGAACCACTTCTCATTGTGCCTTAGGATGCTATCTCCCCATGTGTAGGCCCACTTCTCCAGACGTCACAAGATGCTTCTGGGGCACCCCAATGTTCTAGGCTACTTCTCATAACGCCCTAGAAAGTCTCTGGGTGCCCACGCAGCCTGCCTTGTGACTGGGATCTCATAGGGTCTTCCCACAGATCTTGGGTCTTGCTTCTGGGTGGAGGAGTTCTCTTTAAACTCCTTGGCTCACCATCTGGGTCATTCCCATGGCGCCCCTGACTTCTCAAGGTCCTATTAGGCCTTTCCCATAGAGCCTTGGGGCTGTGGTCAAAAGTGACCATGAGCTTTCCCCCCTAGTGCCTTGGGGCGAGTGTTCTGTCCTTCTCAGGTTCCCAGGGTCCCTCCCATAGTGGCACTGGAACAGGGGTTTTCTTGAGCTCCTTCCCAAACCTTCCAGGCCGCTTTCTATGTGCCTTGGGGAAGAGGGCAGAAGCTTCTGTGTGCCCCTTTCCCACTGTATTTCCACAGCCCCGCACCCTGACCGAGACTCAGCCCCACCCTGAGGAGAGGGAATCCCAGCGGCACGTTCCCACGGGAAGAGAGTCCCCCGCACCTCTTACCCATCTCACACACAGACCCAAATGTTCCAGGCCCCCTTCCCCCACAAGGGTGGGTGCCCAAAGAAATCCCCACCCCTGCCAGAGTCCAGTCGAGGGGCCGCGCCACGGGCCACCCACACGCCCCCAAAGTTGCAGCGGGGGGAGGGGCCAGCCCCGCCCCGCCGAGCCCCCTGCCCCCGCCCACGTGGCCAGCCCCCTACCCGCCCTGCTGGCCGCTCACCTGGGGCGCACAGCGCCAGCCGGAGCAGCTCCAACAGCTGCGCCCCCAGCTCGCACGCGTCCAG